CAGAGTCGAACTAGAGTCAAGCTCAACAGGGTCTTCTTTCCCCGCCGATTCTTCCAAGCCCGTTCCCTTGGCTGTGGTTTCGCAGGATGGTAGATAGGGACAGTGGGAATCTCGTTAATCCATTCATGCGCRTCACTAATTAGATGACGAGGCATTTGGCTACCTTAAGAGAGTCATAGTTACTCCCGCCGTTTACCCGCGCTTGGTTGAATCTCTTCACTTTGACATTCAGAGCACTGGGCAGAAATCACATTGCGTCAACATACGTTGGGACCATCGCAATGCTTTGTTTTAATTAAACAGTCGGATTCCACTTGTCCGCACCAGTTCTGAGTTGGCAGTTTGATGCTTAGGGAGAGTCTCACGGCCCCACCCGAAAGGTGGGGACGGAAGAGATTCTATGCCCGTCGGCACACTGGCACGCGGGCTCCGCCCTCGCCGCGAGAGCAGCTCGGGCAGACCACCGGCAGCCAACGACATCGAGGCGCAGACCCCTAGGCCCAGCCCTCAGAGCCAATCCTTTTCCCAAGGTTACGGATCCATATTGCCGACTTCCCTTACCAACATTCTTCCTTTGACCAGAGGCTGCTCACCTAGGAGACCTGATGCGGTTATGAGTACGGTCGGGCGTGAGAGGTACCTGCAGCTCCAGATTTTCAAGGGCCGTCGAGGGCGCGTTGGACACCACAGGACGCGCGGTGCTTTGCCGGGCGCTGCACCCTATCTCCGGTTGATCCGATTCCAGGGTCGGCGTGCCATCAAGAAGGAAAGAGAACCCTCCCCACGGCCCCCGCCAGCATCTCCGGACCTGCTTACGTTACCGTCCATCTTCACAACTCGGTTCGGGAATACTAACCCTACCCCCTTTTGATGTGCGGCGCGCAGTGCGCCCTTGATACAAGTTTTCCACATCTCTTAGGGCCGACTGACCCATGTCCAAGCGYTGTTCACATGGAACCCTTCTCCAATTCGGTCTTCAAAGTTCTTATTTGAATATTTGCTACTACCACCAAGATCTGCACCGGGACCCGCTTCACCTAGGCTCACGCTCCAGGCTTCGCAGCAGGCCCCACGCCCTCCTACTCGTGGCGGCGTCAGAAACGTCGGGACGGCCGAGCATAGGTCGCGCGCTTCAGCGCCATCCATTTTCGGGGCTGATTGATTCGGCAGGTGAGTTGTTACACACTCCTTAGCGGATTTCGACTTYCATGACCACCGTCCTGCTGTCTGTATCAATCAACACCCTTTGTGGTGTCTGGGTTAGCGCGCAATTTGGCAACGTAGCTCGACTTTCGGTTCATTGCGCATCGCCTGTTCTGCTTACCAAAAATGGCCCACATGGAGCTTTCATTGATCCTCGGGGTTCGCTTAAGCAACCCCGAAATCTTACCTATTTAAAGTTTGAGAATAGGTCGAGGGTGTTTCACCCCCGAGGCCTCTAATCATTCGCTTTACCTCATAAAACTGTTCAACAACTCCAGCTATCCTGAGGGAAACTTCAGAGGGAACCAGCTACTAGACAGTTCGATTAGTCTTTCGCCCTTATACCCAAGTCCGACGAACGATTTGCACGTCAATATCGCTGAGGGCCTCCCCCAGAGTTTCCTCTGGCCTCGCCCTGCTTAGGCATAGTTCACCATCTTTCGGGTCCCAACGGGCATGCTCACACTCAAACCTCTCACAGCAGATCGTGGTTGGTGGACGGTGCACCCGCAGAGGGTTCCTGCCACTCAGGTTTCTTCCGCCTCGTGGGCTAATCACCCACCGGCTCGCATGCACATTGAACTCTTCGGTCCGTGTTTCAAGACGGGCATGATAGAGGAATTTCGCAGGCATCCCGAACACGCAGGAACCCGAACGGGCCCGCCGACAGAGGCGCGTGCTCAAGGTCCTCGACTGCCGTGACTGCCACCCTTTGGGGGTTTCAATCGCTCCCCACCGCAATGCCGGTCACAGCAGCCCATGCTGGCAGGCACCCCACGTCCAACAAGGGGGTGACAACACAGTCGCCGTCCACCCCTGCTCAGACGGGAGCTTTACCTTCCCCTCCATCCGCTTCTCGCTCGGCAATTTCAAGCACTCTTTAACTCTCTTTGCAAAGTTCTTTTCATCCTTCCCTCGCGGTACTTCTTTGCTATCGGTCCGTCGGACATATTTAGCCTTGGATGGGACTTACCACCCAATTGGGGCTGCATTCCCAAGCAACCCGACTCTTGGACAACACCTCGTTGCGCAGCAGSGTMCGGCGGTCGACGGGGCTGTCACCCTCTTCAGCGTCCCCTTCCAGGGAACCTGCACAAGGCCAGCTGCAGAGGTTGCCTCTCAAGACTACAATTCAGGGAGCAACAAAGGCCCCGGATTTTCAGTCTGGGCTATTCCCGGTTCGCTCGCCGCTACCAAGGGAATCCTCGTTGGTTTCTCTTCCTCCACTTCGTTATATGCTTAAATTGGGCGGGTGCTCYCGCCCGACCTGAGATCAAAAGGTAAGGCCCGACGTACCTCCACAGCTCAAGGCCGACACCCCCAATCGCAAGCCCACCTCAAGCTGATGGGAGCGAATGGAAGGCGGCGACCGCACAAAGCGGAGGGACGACCTTACGTGCCGTGTTTAGGGAAACGAAGACCACCACCCACAAATGGGTGTTGGAGGGCAACAACAGGGCGGAGCGAAACACACTACTATGGGCTGCGGCCCCCACAGGCCCGCTCGGAATGCTCTCCAAGTGGGAAGCGAGGGAAGCCATGACCACGGACCCCACCACTCTCCGAAACGGAAGGTGCTGAGGTCGTGAGGAATCCAATGATGCTCTGGCGGGCGTGCCTCCGGCAGAAGCCATGGGCGCCACGTGCATTCAAGGTATCGATGGCTCACGGATTTCTGCAATTCACATTCAGTATCTCATTTCGCTGCGCTCTTCATCGTTGCGAGGGCCAAGATATTCGTTTGCCGAGAGTTCTACAATATGGTGCCGTTCCGACAGGACCGACCCCTCGACCAGAACAGAAGGGGGCCGTCAACCCTGACAACGAGAAATCAGAGCAGGTACATCAATAAGAATTTGAAAAGCCATCGCCACCAGCCGCTGCCACGGGCCCGCCCGACCCCCCGTTCGGGGGGCCAGGCAGGGCACCGGGGAGCAGCGGGGCAACGAGGGTGCAAGCGCTGTCTCCTCCGCCCCCCCACCCAACACCATCCCGTTCACGACCAAAACACTCCCCCAACGGCCCTCCACCCCGAGATTCAGACCACCTCGACTGTGTCGAGTACGACGATCTGTCCGGAAAGGACAAACCCGTTGGAAAGGAAGGCAAGACGAAACGGGGAGGGGCTGAGGACCCCGCAACACTCCCCGCCCCTAGCCTCTACCACGACCCTCGATCCCCAAACAAGCCACAAGCTCCGCACGAAGCCGTGGTTGAGGCCGGGATGGAAAGGAGGTCTGGACAAAGCTGAGACGGGAAGGAGCGGGGGTACACAGGCCGAGGACAGCCGCCACCACCCGACATCCCGCCCCTGACCCTCCCGCAGGGCTGTCCGTGCCCGGACCAACCGTCATTCCGACCAGAAGTCGAGACTGGGGCTGGGCCGAGGTAACAACCTGTGGAGGCGAGACGGGATGAAGGGGGAGCAACGCCACAAGGCCCCGGACCCTCCCTTGACCTACACCACGCGCCCCTCTGCGCCGGGCCAGCCGCCAGTTGGGCAATAAGCCCAAGATGGTGCTGAAACGGAAGAGAAAAGCGGATGCAGGGAGGATGGGGGCAAAGGGCGGCGGAAGAGCGAGCAAGCCAGCGTCCCACACCCCGAAGATCGGCCATTCACGTGTCAATGATCCTTCCGCATGTTCACCTACGGAAACCTTGTTACAACTTCACCTTCCTCTAAATGACAAGGTTCAATTAACTTCTCACAGCACCCCAGCGGCAAACCGCCGAGATCACCGCAATCCAGACACTTCACCGGACCATTCAATCGGTAGGAGCGACGGGCGGAGTGTACAAAGGGCAGGGACGTAATCAGCGCGAGCTGATGACTCGCGCTTACTAGGCATTCCTCGTTCAAGATCGATAATTACAACAATCTATCCCCGTCACGATGAACCTTAAGAAGGTTACCCGGGCCTTTCGACCCAGGCAAGCGACTCGTTGGATTCATCAGTGTAGCGCGAGTGCGGCCCAGAACATCTAAGGGCATCACAGACTTGTTATCGCCTCAAACTATCGTTGGCTAGTCGTCCAACAGTCCCTCTAAGAAGCTGGCCACGAGGAAAGGTCCCCGCGTAGCTATTTAGCAGGCTGAGGTCTCGTTCGTTAACGGAATTAACCAGACAAATCACTCCACCAACTAAGAACGGCCAAGCACCACCACCCATAGAATCAAGAAAGAGCTCTCAATCTGTCAATCCTTKCTATGTCTGGACCTGGTGAGTTTCACCGTGTTGAGTCAAATTAAGCCGCAGGCTCCACACCTGGTGGTGCCCTTCCATCAATTCCTTTAAGTTTCAGCCTTGCGACCATACTCCCCTCGGAACCCATAAACTTTGATTTCTCACAAGGCACTCGCAGAGTCATCCAATAGACATCCGCCAATCCCCAGTCGGCATCGTTTATGGTTGAGACTAGGACGGTATCTGATCGTCTTCGATCCCCCAACTTTCRTTCTTGATTAATGAGAACGTCCTTGGCAAATGCTTTCGCAGAAGTTCGTCATCCATAAATCCAAGAATTTCACCTCTSACAATGGAATACGAATGCCCCCAACCGTCTCTATTTATGATTACTCCAATCCCGAAGACCAACGAAATAGGACCAGAGTCCTATCGCGTTATTCCATGCTAATATGTTCAGAGCACAGGCCTGCTTTGAACACTCTAATTTTTTCAAAGTAACAACGCCGGCTTTGGATCCCAGCCAATAAAGGCAAGGAATGCATACCCGGCAAGAAAGGCGAAAGGGCCGGTACACGCCCGCAAGAGCGGACCAACCCCTCCCACCCAAAATCCAACTACGAGCTTTATAACTGCAACAACTTAAATATACGCTATTGGAGCTGGAATTACCGCGGCTGCTGSCACCAGACTTGCCCTCCAATGGATCCTCATTCAAGGAGTTTACGACTGTTCTCATTCCAATTACCGGACTCGAAAGAGCCCAGTATTGTTATTTATTGTCACTACCTCCCTATGTCAGGATTGGGTAATTTACGCGCCTGCTGCCTTCCTTGGATGTGGTATCCATCTCTCAGGCTCCCTCTCCGGAATCAAACCCTAATTCTCCGTCACCCGTTTCCACCATAGTAGGCCTCTATCCTACCATTGAAAGTTGATAGGGCAGAAATTTGAATGGAACATTGCCGGCTCAAAGGGCATGCGATTCGACAAGTCACCATGATTCGCCGCAACAACGGGCAAGCCTGGATCGGCCTTTTATCCAATAAATAAATCCCTTCCAGAAGTCGGGATATGCTGCACGTATTAGCTCTAGAATTACCACGGTTATCCGAGTGGTAAGGAGACCACCAAATAAATGATAACTGATTTAATGAGCCATTCGCAGTTTTTTTTCTTTTTTTTTTTAACTCACACACACACATACCCCTTCTATGCTGGGGGGCAACAGTCCGGTTACTTATCACTGGCAAGCAAGTACAGACTGTGAAAAGAACAGACAGAATCACAGTGCAAAGTGTTCACACTTAGACGTTCATGGGTTAGTCTTCGAGACAAGCATATGACTAGTGGCAGGATCAACCAGGTAGCGGTTGTGACGAGCAGCTGCAAGGACCGATGACCGAGGCGCACGTAGGCACGTCACGCCAAACAGCCAACCAAAAGAGCGTTGAACAATCGTGGAACGTGCAATGAGCTGCCGAGACGCCGCGAAGTCCGGCTGTTTGAATTGCAGGTAAACTTCCCTCCATAGGCCATCTCCAACGGCAAGGTACTGCACAATCCAACACAGCCCGCCGCACTCGCCCAAGAGATTGGCTGCGAACAGCACCCGCCCACACCACACCCAGAGATCGCAAGTTAACCACACTACCCGAACAACGGCGCGCGCGAAGGAACCACCGACAGCTTCGGCCCACAGCCGGACGCTACCGCCCGCCCAAAACGTACCGACAGCGAAGTGCACAGCCTCATCTCTCCATCAAGAAACGCGGGTGAAGAGAGAAATGAATGCAGCATGCTTCTAACACGCCCGGACGGACGGAAAGCCTCCACCTGTGCACGGCGGCGCAAAAGGAATACAACCCCTCTCCCCCCTGAATCCACATCCGCCGGTTGTCGTGGGCACCACCAACAGCACTCGATGCAGGCGAAACCCAGGAGACAGAGGACAGTAGCCTTCGAAGCCCACAACCTAAACGCAGCGGAGCCATGACGCAACGCGATCCCTCATGGTGTGCACAAGCACGCATTCCAAAAAGTCGGGCGGATGACGGGCCCAACCTCGTGGCTCCGTCGGAGAGTGCATCACGGATCCCACAAGTCTCCGCCCTCGCATACGGTAAGCAGCGCGTGCATGGCCGAGGCCACCTGCGCCACCGCTCAATGGCGCCGCTCGGATGACGAAGAGCGCAGAGCGTCCTCACCAAGTCGTGACACCCCCTCAAAATAAACGGAACGCGCCGTTGTGAGTGCGGACACGAAGACGACACCACAACAGAGCTGCAACAGCTCTCCCCGTAACCTACGGGATGATGGTGCCGAAGCTGAGAGCCGGTGACGGGCACCTCCGCCTCCACACCCTGCAAACGACCTCCAACCGGACCGCCGTCGGCAATCAGGCGCCAATCATCGCAAGACGATGAGCGAGGGTGAACGCAACGATCCACAACCCGGCACCACGGCATAGGAAAGCCCCGACAGCCGCGACCGCCGCCAACGACGACCGAGCTGTCATGAAATAAGCCCTCCAAGGGAGACGACCATGGACCCGAACGGCGCTGCAAAAATGTTCGCTCGACCACCAAAGCACGACTCGGCCCGTCCCTCGCAAAATGGAAACCACCCAAAGCGTGTGCAGAGAGTCCCTCGTAACTCGAGTACAAGGTCCCAAAATCCACGCCCGGAACGTCGCCTTCGTGGACTGCAAGGGGGCTGCTAAGCACGCAGGCCCCTATAAGAGTGCAAACGGGACTCCGAAACGTCAACCACCGACTGTTTGGCACATCCGGAGGGTGCTCACTGAGCCATCCGCYGAGGGACCTGCACATGTCCCTTTCCAGCAAGCTGACTGAACAGACCCCAATGGCGATGTCCCCCTCGGGACCTCATCCCTTTCCGCTCTCAATAAGACGCCTCTGGACCTTCGATCCTGGGAAACCCCCTTTTCTCGGGGCCATTCCTACGCCCGAGTGGCAGTGCGCGGTATCTGCTGCCCCCACAAAATTCGACTCCTCAAAAGTCCGTCCCATCTTCGTCCCTTCCACACACAAAAGGATAAGGGGAAGGGCCGGGGAAAAAAAATAAATACATTAAAAAAAAAAAAAAGGGACGAAAGAAACATGGAAAAGGCCAAGCAGCATCTGTGCCTAGCGACTCAGATCATGCCGCGGTGTGGGAGTGAAAAGTTTACGGGAAGTCTGGCAGAATCGTGCGTCCGTTGTGGGGTTATGTGTTGGCGAACATGACCCGGACACGCACTCCAGAAAGAGAAGGGGGGAAAGAAAAGTCAAGGATGACTTGACAAAATCGTCATTTCAATTTGTGTCGGCCCC